GAGAGCAAGACTTTCTAGTTAATTAAAATTCTATTATATTTACTTTTCTTGTTGCTTTAGAAGATCTAATATGTTTAGGATTTAATATTTTATTGCTTTAATTAGTGATCTAGTTGGAGTAGGATGAGAGGTAATTAGGATCTATAAATAGGGATGTTCTCTCATTGTCTTTTACGTCCAGAATTGATGAGTTAATAAAAAGGAACGTTGTGTTCATTCGTGTGTTTAAGCAAGGCCATGAGTGCTTGTTTATCATACAACTGTGTCTAAGAGAAGGCCCTGAGAGCGTCTTGAAGTCACACTTATCGTGTTTAGTCGAAGGCCCCGAGTGCGCGATTATACACAAGCGGTAGGCAAAATCACGATACCTCATCATTGGTGCTCTCGTTGAGAGAATCCAATCGTGTTTATTGTCTATTTTATCTTTTTATTTTTCGGTTTTTCCTTTCGCTGAGGGGGCCGAATTTCTTTTATTTTGTTCGATTTTTCCCTTCTTCTTCTTCTTGTTCTATTTTTTGTAAGTTTTGGGTGTTTGTATCAAAAACCAAAAAGAGAGAGTCGAGAGTATAAAAAAAAATGTTGTCAAACCGTGAAAAGATTGAAGCTTTGGAAGAGAGCTTGAAGACTATTGGTGATGGCCAACATATGACCAACGAGAATTTGGCGAAGATTGAGCTCATGGTCCATGACTTGGCCGGGCAACTCACGGGCATGAATCCGCGACCAAGGAGAAGCCACGGGACGAGGTCGACCATGGCGTCTAGCAACACCGAGGCCCCGTGAGGAGGACGATCGGCGATCGCAGGCGACGCACCACACGCATGCATCAGCACAGCACGCGACGAACGACGCCAACACTGCGACGACCGAAGGCGCGGCGACGATCGGCGACATCACCGCGGCGAACGACACCACGAGGAACGAGCTTACATGCAACCGAAGCTTACTATGCCTACGTTCATGGGAGTCGATCCGGATGCATGGTTGAGTCGGGCTGTGCAATTTTTTGAGATCAACGATGTGCCAAGGTACGAGAGAGTTTAAATTGCTGCTTATCATCTTAATGGAGAGGCGAACGTTTGGTGGCAATGGATCTTGCACAAGAATAATGGTGAGCACATGTGTTGGAGGGATTTCGAAACAGAGCTCATCACGAGGTTTGGATCTAGTGATTACTTTGATTATGATGAAGCTTTGCCGAGGATACGGCAAGTTGGTAGTCTTCGTGATTATCAAAAGGAGTTCGAGCAAATTGCTAGTAGAGTTCGGGATTGGCCCGAGAGTGCATTAGTGGGAGCTTTTGTTGGAGGGTTGAAAGCCGAATTGGCGGCTGGAGTGCGACTTGATAGGCCGAGGTCAACACGAGCGGCAATAGAGTCGGCCAGGTTGCATGAGGACTGCCTCACGGCGGTGCGCAAGGCGAGGCCGAGCGACGCGCGCACGGAGTCGAGGCGCACTTACGCTGCAATCGAAAAGGCGCCCCCACGGGCCAATATCAAGTCGAATGCCGAAGGATTTCGCACCACGAGCAATATGCGGCGATTGACGGACGACGAGATTCAATGGAGAAGAGCGAAAGGCTTGTGCTTCACATGCAACGAGCGATTCACACCGGGCCATAAATGCAAAGGTAAAGAAGTCTTTTGTCTTGAGTTTGAGGAGGAATAGGAGAGCGAACCAATTGAGGAGACTTTGCTACATGTAGTCAAGTGCAAGAAACGAGGTCCGAAGATGATCATGTTTACAGCTGAGATTAGGGGCAAGTTGGTGGAGGTATTGGTAGATAGCGGGTCCACGTCAAATTTCATTGACGAGGAGCTGTCCAAGGAGATAGAAATTCCATTCACAAAGGTGAAACCTTTTGGAGTCAAAGTGGCCAACGGAGAGACACTTCGAGGAGATCTACTTTTCAACGGAGTAAAGATGGAAGCTCAAGGTCAGAAGATGAAAGTTGATCTATATGCCTTTCCATTGAAGGCGACTGATGTGGTACTTGGATGTCAGAGGTTGGAGACGCTTGGTCCAATGACAACTGATTATTGGAAAGGAACTATGGAGTTCGAGCGATCGAGCAAGCGAATCAAGTTGATGACCGAGGATCCATGGGAGTCACCCGATGAGGATGAAGATGATAGACGAGTCTGCAAGCTTAATTTCATCATCCTTGAGGACAAGAATAGTCTCGAAGAGGACGGGAATGATACGGAAGTGCTTATTAACCCTGGCGAGTCCGAGAAAGAGACTAGCGATGATCTTGATGTTTGGCTAAAGAACATGCTCGAGGAGTCACATGGAGAGGATTATCGGCCTTCTTGTAGGCGAGATTGGCCGAGAGG